CACGGTCAGAGAGGCTCAAATTACAAATAAAATAAAAATAATTTCTCACCAACAACAAGAAGTACTTTTCTAATTTTTTGATATGTTGAACTATTGAATAGATGAGGTAAAGTGAACTTTTGGCTACATCGAAAGTTCCGGGCACCGCTGCTCACATTGCTTTTTATGGCTCTCAATATCGCTGTTTCTGTATAAACTGAAGAATTTGTCATTTAAATAAAACTAAAAAAAGATACGAGGCTTTGAAAACTTAATACGAGCAATTCAATAATTAGGCTTAAGAAAACCGAAGGAAAAAGTGCTCTGGCTAACACCCAAATTCAAGTTTATTAAAAAAAAAACAAGAAATTAAGAAGTTTCTTCTTTTTTTTTTTTTTTTGGAAAAGGGGGGGGGGGGGGGTTCTATATGGGCTCAAAATGACGCCTTTCAATCTTTGTTTCTTAATGTAAGATAGGGAATATCATAACTAATTAGTCGCCCACCTAAATTAGTGTGGTATGCAACCGTCTTTTTTTTCTTTTTACCTACATTGGTTTTATGTAATTTTCAAAAAAAACTTAGAACATGATACCAGCAAAAATAAAATTAACTTTTTTTTTAAACAAATCATTTTCTTGGAGTTCGGAGGCTCCCCAGATCCCAGACTTGAAAACCTTGCAGCGTCCCTTTGGATTGGAATGACCCTGCAGCTTTGGCATGGAATGACCCTGTTTGATATAACTGCAGCTTTAAACGTTGATTTTTTTTTTAATCAGTGCCAAAAATAGACAAAAAAAAACGATTCTTTGGGTAATAAAATAGACTACATAAAACTCTTAGCGATTTTAAAGAAAACTAAGCACCCAAAACACTCAACCCTAGTTATAGAATTTAAAAAAAAAGTAGGTTTCTGGAAGGCAGGAATGAGAACAGCTATAGATTGAGAGGCACCCATGTGAACTAAAAACGAAACGGCGATGAAGAGGGCGAGGAGGGGTGGGTGGACGCGGTTGTTTTCTTGTCACTCCCATGCAGCGAAGCGAAGCCAAACGCCAAGCCGACAGACACGGGTTCTGCTCCGATGGTTAAGAGAGCAGCGACGGCAAAAGTTCGACACTCAAGATGCGGCTCATTAAACATCGCTACGCACCGAGTTTAAGGCGTTACAGAGGCGAGACGGCATCCGCCGCCGCTTTGAGCCTGCCGCGCGCGGTGCTTTCGAGCCAGTTCGGAAGTATACAGACAGACACGAAACGTCCGAGCGCTCCAATTGCCAGACCTAAGCGTGCAAAGCCAAATTTACGCGACGGTTAGCCAACCGAGTGTCGATTAAGCGGCCTTTCTTTATGGTTTCGATGAAAGAGAGGCCCGAAATTTTGACTTCGAGCGAATTTCCGTTTAGAAAGTACAGAATATACCTGCCAACGAGGTTTGAGATCAAAGTATTCCGGCGCGCCCTTGCGCCGAGATATGGTCACTGGCCGAGAGAGCGCGCCTCGAAAAGAACGGCCATGGCCACCTATTTCCATGGTCGACCTGTTTTGAACCAACTCGGATATGCCCCGCGAACGGAGTTGACCCGACGTCCGCAGTAATCCTCTGCCTAACGAACGGCTGATCTCCACGGGCCACGAAAGGGCAAAGCCCTATGGCAGATTATTTGGAATTGTCTCGGTGGTGCTAAGCAAAATGCCGAGCATGGGATTTGTTCGATGGTCGACATAGAAACTTCACCAACATGACTCAAACTAAGCTCTTTTTTTTCTTCGCGAGCATGGCCTCTTTCCAATGGCAAACCTAAAATTAAGTCATTAGCCAAATGTGTAAACCAACTTTGTTGTTGTCTTGTTTGGTCGCCAAGAATTTGTTAGCAATGGCCGACCAATGACCGACGATGTTGTAGGATTTATTGTGGATAATGTTTGGGCGCCGCCCGGTTGTCCACACTGGGAGAACATATCTTTGTCGACCAGCAATGCTGTACAAAATCAATCGGGTCTTGAAAAAAAAAAAAAAAAAAAAAAACGACGTTGACGGACAAAATGTGCCGGTCGTTACATATACTGGGCCATAACTCAGCTTGCGACAAAACCAGAGGCCATCGTCATAGTCTCACAAAACCGCATTTAAGGCTCGCCAGCCACAATATGGGCGAAATACACGAGCAGACATCACGCGACACGAACGGGCCAATGACCGCCGCGACAGCTTTTTGTACAGTGGTGCAAAAGAGTGTACTTCTACATCATACAAAACAAAAGACACGGTGTTCTTTGCACACATAATGACGGAATCATCTGCGGACGAAGCATGTTCGAAGCAACTTCGTGCATGCTTCTAACGTGTCTGCAGTCAGTTTTTGTATGATGTATCATCGGCAGTGTGGCTGCGGATTGAGTGTAGCGGGAAGCTTCGCTTAATCCGCGGCTACGATCACACTCCTAATAGATCTTACAAGAGACAGTCCGAAGACACTATCTTGGACAAGTTTCTCCTTGCGTGACGGTCACATTACTCACACAAAAACTGTCTGTGGACATGTTGGAAGCATGCACGAAGCGAGCATGCTTCTAAGCAGTGTGTCGAACCGAAAAAAATACGGGTTCGGTTACGGTTCAGGTTCAGGTAATTTTATTTTGTTCCGGTTCAGTTCCGGTTCGATTAATTCGATCCGCGAACCGGTTCGCGAACCGGTTCGGGGCGCTGAACCGGTTCGGAAATTATAAATGACAAATTGCAACATCAAAATAAATTACAAATAAAACATCTGAAATCAGCACATACGAAACTGGATACATCGTAGTGTAAGGCTCAGGGATTTCTACCATTAATGGTTTCTTTATGTGCACTCAAAGGTTACCTCACCGACGTTTACGCATTCGGACTTCATCTAATTGGGTCCGACGCAGTAGCTGTAAAATCCGCGACCTCCTTACAAACCCACTTGCAAGTAGAACTCGCTAACTATCCCGCCACCTTGGCGTGTAAGCAGTTGAAGGAACAGTGGGGAGAAAATGCAGCTTTCTTTGTTTGAACTAGCCTTCGGTAACTCAAATTAGACCCCTAAAGAAGTTTTCATTAAACAAGATACGGAATATGAAAAACACTTCACCGAACGCAACGCCAGAAGGACGTAATAGGATAAATATTAAAATAGAAGAATTCGCTGTCTCACAAATATGTTAGCTTCTAAGTGCCTATTCGAAAACGGATGCATTATTATCAAACTCCACAGCCTTTTCTTTTCTCATTCCGATGGAAGCAAGCTTCAAGAACTCGCGCGTTCTAGAAACGTGTTATGAAATGAGCACACAGCAGCATTTAGGATTGCCGAGATTGTAGAAAATAAAATCCCGCTGACGCATTTTTTTTTTTTTTTTGCACAGTTTTCTAGTTTTTTTTTTTTTTTTCCGTGCAAGCCGGGACCAGCGCAATACTGGTTACCATGTCAAGATTCATGGATGCAGCGTTTATATTCCTAAGACTGAGTGGAGAAGAAAAATATCTAAGCGAGGTGTGTGTCAGTTGACGGCACTTAAAATACAAATGGCATAATTGATAGCACATTCATTGTCAACAGCGCGTGGCCGAACCGTTTTGACATGAGCCGGTAACCGTTATTTTTTTTTTCCGGTTCAGTTCCGGTTCGAGTTCATCGCGATAACAATATAACGGTTCGGGTTCGGGTTCAGTTCCGGAAAAAATACCGGTTCGGTTCCGGTTTTCGGTTCGGTTCGGTTCCGGTTCGACACCCTGCTTCTAAGGTAGTTAAGATATGTTTGCATGCAGATGCATCTGTCATCATGTCTGGAGCGAAAAGTGACTCTCAAGAAACTCAGACGTAGACCATGTGATGGTGTTCTGCGATGCCCCCTTTGGGTTCACCACGTAGCGATTCTTCGCCGGGCGTCGCTTCCGTCGTGTACGGGTCATCGTAATTCCGCGCGCTCCGTCTTCACCGACGAAAATAACAGCTCTGGCCCTCAGCTTCAAAGAATGACGACCGCATCATCGAGTGAACCGGGGGGAAAATTGGCTTCCGAAACAAGCCTGCCCTTCCAAACTGGACTCGAGCCAGTGGAAAATGACCGTCTTCGAAGCGTTCAGCCACCGCTTCGATGACACGGTTCGGCCGGACCGACAACATCGTTCCAGAGGTCCACGATGGGTGTGTTTGGTTTCGAGCAGTCGGTGCGTCTCTGTTACCTTTAGAATTGGACATCGTTGCGGAGCGCATGAGCAAGAGGGGTGTAGATGTTTTCTGTTTCGTGTCGTTTTCAGTCACGTGGGTTTTGTATATGGTATGCGGGACGAAAATATAATAAAAACATTTCAACCTCGAATACGCGAGAAAAAATAGGCGAGGCAAAACAAGAATCTGTGAAAATCACGCATTTTTCGTAAACACCTTCCAGCGGCGTGGAGAGATCAAAACGATGTTTTACCGCATACCAGAAGTGACGACATTCAAGATGGCTGCGCCCTTGTGGAAAAGGTGTGTAGAAAAAGAAAGACATATACCAAGAGAGATTAGGTTATAATGGTCTCGAGGTATACGACTCCAGACCGGAAACAATCACACAACCAGCCTGCAATTTGTGTTAAATTAACTTTTAAGGCATGGGAATGCTTTTATAACGGAACCCCCTAACTAAAAACTGTCTGTCCCTCTGTCCGTCCGTCCGTCCGTTGAGCAAGCTGCCCCTCTCCAAGCGCATTTCCCTGCTAAATTTAGCGGCAAAATTGACGTCACGCTCGTCATGATATTACGCAACGTTCCGATCTGACACCGCTGTGTCGATTTCCCCACTAAATTTGGCGGCGACATTGAAGTCACGTCACCTCATGTCATGCGACTTAGGGTCACGTGACGTTAATTGTCCTGCTAAATTTAGCGGTAAAATGATTAACGTTTTATTCACTCTCTGAAACGAAACCAACTGATACCACCGCTTCTTAAATACCGCATTCTATCGATTTTTACGACTTTGAAGATAAAGGTTTCTGATATTTTTGATTATTACTTCTTTGCCAGAAAGTTTTCGGCATCCAATGTTACTTTAAAACCCCTCGTACATTTACCAGGCTGTAAATGTAGAAGGACGTTTACTGGAGAATAAAATGATTTCTGTATTCGTGTTGGCACTGAGAAGGATCCCACGTCTTCCTCAGCGGCCTTGTCAATTTGAGACTGGGGCGCAGACCGAATAAAAGATGATTCCGGTCCGGACACGGCCAGCTGGTCGGCGACCCCTGGACTAGATCCTATGATCCGATCAGAGCCCAACGTGACAGCGATGTAATATCACTCGGCACAGCAATGAACGCGGCCCTAATTCCATAATCAAGACTTCCCTCAATCAAGCCTCAAGACAAGGCCTGCGCCTTTCACCCTCACGTCATCCCTGGTGGATCCACGTAGCGCTGCCTATATAGCGTTTCGCAGCGTTTCACACCGAGCGCGACGCTAGCACGCGGAGACGCCAAGACGAACGCGTCTACCGCTTGGCGGCGTCTCTCGTAGAGCTACAGCGTGTTTGCCGGTGGGGGGTCCACTAGTGATGACGTCATGCACAGGCCTTGTCTTCTAGGTGGTATTGGCCCCAGGCTCCGCCAGACTAGATGCCGCAGCGCCAAAGGTCACGGAGCTCTCCACATTGTCGCCAGTCAGCCGGCGTGGCGCAGTTGTGATCCAGATAAAAGGAAATATGCTCGCGGAGATGGCGAACCAAACGACGAGCGAAGCCTAATGAGCGGCAAGGGAGTAAATGGTCCAACTGCGGTGGCCCAGTTTTAAGAGGGCCCGGCCGTAGATTGGTCCGGCACGAGAGAAGAAGAGCGCCGACTTAAGTGCGACTTCCGGAGTTGCGGGGATGGGGGTCAGCCACGGCGCTTCTTCGTCGGAGGAGCTGGTTCGCTCCTCTCCCATTGCGTAGAGAGATCTCGGGAGGCCACGTTCAGAGAACGAGACCCGTAAACCGGAAGCCCGGCAGCCAACACGTACTACAACTACGCGCAACGAGCGGTCGTCTGGATTAAGTCTATGGCGGCTCAGAGGGAGCGAATGGGGACCTTGGCATCGGTTGCGTCAACGGACACCAAAAACAGCGGACAAGACTAGCTGTCACCAGGACAACAGTGTCCTCCACGTACCGTTCCAATAAGAGCCTTCTGAGCGCTGTTATCTTTGTCTCCTGGGATGTAGAACGCGTTCTCAGCCTGCAGTAGCTCTCTTCTGCAGAACACAGGAGATTGCCCACGCGTACTGTGATTCAGCACTTTTCGACAGGTCATAGTCGCTGGAAGGAGCATGCCAGTTCAAGGAACCTGTAGGTCAATCCCGCCGTTTGCGAAAGTCCAATCATCGATGTGGGAAAATGTGAGAGCGGACCTTTTTTACCCGTGGTTCTTCTGGCAGCGGTTCCCTAGATTGGTCTAGGGCGTGCGGTTGTTCTGGTAAATTAGTCGTTGCTAGCGTTTCAGTAGCAATGTGCACGTTCGTGTACTTTCACTACAGCGTGATGCACATTTGGAACCTCCAAGCAAGTGGTAATTAATTCAGCACTGGCTAAATGTTTTATCGACAATGGAGGCCACAGACCCCGTCGGGGCAGCGACTAACTCGCCGTCGTCTAGACTTCCATACAGCAAACTGCACAAGCGATCATATTGCACAAACATCGCGAAAAAACACGGACGTTTTTGTTTCAAGTAGTAAAAGCTTCAGCTGCGAGTCAGCGTTCGTCCTGTTTGCGTGTTTCTCCTGCTCCGTCTATGTTGTTCTTTTTTTATTGCTGTCTGCACTATGACTACCGAATACCAACTAGCCCAACTCTCGACGTTATTGTACAAGCGACACAAATGCGCAAGCCAGGTCGGACAATCGAAGGAACTAATCAGTAAACATAATTAACCAATCAACATTGTCCTTCTGGGAAACTCGAGACAGAACCGATCCTGATCTTGCATTATAAAAACGATGCCGCGGGCTTCGCTCCCCTGCACGCTGTAAAGACTCGGGGCTTGTCCATGTCGATCTCCGCTGGAGCCATGCGTCGCCCAGGACATCGGGCAGAGTTGGTAGCGAGCCAGGGTGTCTCTTCTCAAACTGTTTATTTACATACTATGTACAGTCTGCCGTTCGGCATGAGAACAACGTGAGAACACGAAGAGGGAGCGTAAAACCGCTCTTTTTATAATGTCCCCCTTCCCTACGTCCCTAGGCCAGGACGCCGTTCCCCAACTGGTCAGGCACCGCCCACTCGCACGCACACGCACACACAGAGGATAAGTGCTCTTCCGGTTCCTCCAGGCTTGTATAGTGGCAGCCGTTTCTTCAGCGACACTTGAGATTTGGCCTTGCTCCTGGAATCTAGGTCGAGGTGACACCTAGAAGCTCATTCCCAAACGTCCGGGCACCGCCTATGAGCACGCCCAAACGGACACACCGGTTAATCCTTTTGTTGGCTCTAAGAGAGCACGAACGCCCGGAGGATACCGTCCCACTCCCTGGTCGGGACGGAGAAGACCTTGGACGCCGATATCCGGGCAGTTCCCGTTCACGGCTTATCTCCTTCTTTCGGCTTAGCAGGGATCACCGTGGCCGTTGGTTCCTGCTTGGACGCCTCAAAGAGAACGCATTTCCGTTTCAGCACCCAACTTGAGCCGGTATCGACGACGGCTTGTCTTGCTCTTTTGTCGACGGTACCAGGGCAGCGGGGAAAATAATCCCAGCTTGAGATTGTCAGCGAAAGGCGCGTCCTCGGGAATGTTACAAAAGGGGTGGCGATCCGCGTCCAGGTCCGGCCGCGAAGGTCGGTCGTTACAGCTCCTCCACGCAAAGGCAGATCTCGGAAGGGGAGGAGTATCAGCTGCTTTCCTGGAGAGATCAGCTTCGAAATCGTCGTGAGTAGCCAACACATCAACAGAGACACGAACCGCTACAACCAAATCCAGCGAGCGGCAGCACCCTTTCCCCAACCGCCAGGCCTTTTTTCTGCGGCAATAAACCTATCACTTTTTCTGCCATTGACACCACCAAGAAAAGCCTGCGATAGGGCAACATTGCACAAAGCGAAATCGCTGACATGTGTGAAGATTACAAAAAGTAAAAGAAAACGCAATGAAACTTCTTAAAATTTGGCCCAACTCGCAAGGCAACATCCAGAACAAACAATCTCAAAACGACCTGCTAAGTCCGTCTACGTTGGAGTTAGCCGCCCCCCTCTTGTACTTAACCGTGAAGGTTAATTCTTGTAAAGCCAAACTCCACCGCAGAAGTCGGGCATTTTTTGTCGACATTTGAGTTAGCCATGTCAAAGGGCAGTGGTCGGTGACGAAAACGAACGGAGCTCCGTAAAGGTAACAAGAGAGCTTTTGAGTTGCCCAAATTAAGCCGGCGCATTCCTTTTCCGACGCACTGTAAGCCTCCTCTCGGCTGCTGAGTTTCCGGCTTGCGTACAGCACGGGGTGCTCCTCTCCCGCATCATCCTCCTGACATAAAATCACCCCCAAGCCGCGATTACTGGCATCGCACTGCACTATAAACGAGCGACTATAATCCGGGGCCCGAAGTATGGGGGAACAGCAGAGGGAATTTTTCAAGCCCTGGAAGGCCTGTTCTTTTTTGTCGTCCCATCGAATCTTATCGGGTTCGGTCTTCCGCAGCGCATCGGTTAGGGGGCTAGCCTTTTCTGAGTACTGAGGGATATAGCGTTGGTAATACCCCGTCAGCCCCAAAAAAGCCCTTATGCCAGTTTTTTTCTCAGGTCGCGGGAAGTCTCTTACAGCCTCAACCTTGAGTTCGTCGGGCCTTCTTAGCCCCTGACCCACGATATGGCCGAGGTATCTAACCTCGCCTCTCGCCAGCTGACACTTACTTGGTTTCGCGGTTAGACCCGCGCTCCTCAACCTTTCAAATACGTCAGAAAGGTGGTTCATGTGATCTGCCCAAGTTGTCGAAAAAATGGCGATGTCGTCTAGATACGGTAGCGCGTAGCTTTCCGCCCCACGCAAAATTCTGTCCATCATTCGCGAGAAACAGAACGGAGCGTTTTTAAGGCCGAAGCTCAAAACCAACGGGCGGAATGTGCCCGTTGGGGTCACGAAGGCTGCGTAATGGCTAGCTCTTTCCGTCATCGGGACCTGCCAGTATCCGCGCACTAGGTCTAAAGTCGAAACGTATCTAGCCCCACTAACCGTCTCAACTCTTTCCTCCACGTTGGGAATCGGGTAAGCCTGGTCTCTGGTGATTGCATTGAGTTTGCGATAGTCAATGCATGGTCGGGGATCCCTTCCCGCAGCCTCTACGATGATCATAGGGGAAGAGTAATCACTTTCACGCGGAACGATTACCCCTAAGTGCAGCATGCGCTCCACCTCGTCTTTTAAGATAGCCTGCTGCCTGGGTGACATGCGATAGGGACGGGATCGTACCGCGACGTTTGATGTTAGCTCAATGTCATGCGTGGCAAGGGAGGTTCGTCCGGGAGACATTGAGAACAAGTTCTCGTACTTTTCCAGAAGATCTCTCAATTCAGCCCGCTGTGAGACCGAAAGATCCTCCGAACGAACCGCCTGAGCCATGACTTCATTTACTCCGACCGGCGCTCCAGCCTCCCAAAGTAGCGGAACATCAGTCTGAACTTCCTCTGGGGCGTTTAGTGTCAAGTTCACCACTTCCGTTTCGCTCACGTAACGCTTCATCAGATTGCAGTGATAGATTCTGATTTCCTTTCTCTTGCCTCTGGTTTCGATTGCGTAGTTAGTATCCGACAGCTTTTGAGTCACCTTGAATGGTCCCTCCCACTGCACCTGTAGCTTATTTTGGCGTGAGGGACGAAGCAAGAGGACTTGATCGCCCGCCCGGTACTCCCGGACACGGGCGTTTCGGTCGTAATACCGTTTCGCTCTGATCTGGGCCTCGCGCATATTAACCTCCGCTATCTCACTCGTGCTTCGGAATCGCTCTAGCAGATCAAGAATGTACTCTACCACACTCGGATCGGATGCCTTGGTCTCCCAAGTTTCGCGGAGCAGCCGCAGGGGAGTCTGCAAACACCGTCCATACACTAGTTCGGCCGGGCTGAAGCCGGTTGCCTCGTGAGTCACGGAGCGCAGCGCGAACAACATTGCCGGCAGGCAGGCGTCCCATTCGTTCCCACTCTCATAAGTTAGCGCCCTCAGAACCCGCTTCATAACTGAGTGACACCTCTCGACACTGTTTGACTGCGGGTGATATACTGAACTGTGTATAACCTTTATACCGCACCTCTCGAGGAAACCAGTAGTCAAAGCGCTTGTGAAAACGCTCCCTTGGTCGCTCTGGACCTCTTGGGGGAAGCCTACCCTCGCAAAAATTGACAGAAGTGCGTTCACCACCTCCACTGAACTCTGTTCCTTCATGGGGACCGCTTCGGGGAACTTGGTAGCCGCGCACATGACCGTTAGAGCATAGCGGTACCCCCCCTTAGTAGCCGGAAGAGGACCCACCACATCAATGACCACCCGCCTGAATGGCTCCGAGATTATCGGCACAAGTCTCAGGGGCGCCTTGCATTTTTCATTGGGTTTTCCCACTCTCTGACAGACATCGCACGCCCGCACCTGAGACTCGGCATCTCGGAAGCATCCCGGCCAGTAGAATTCCGTGAGGAGCCGATCTTTCGTCTTTTTGTTGCCCAAGTGACCGGACCATCCCGCTCCGTGGCACAGGCGCAACACATCCGCTCGATATTTCTCCGGCACTACCAGCTGATCGAACGTGCGACCCGACCGATCTCGGTAGTGTCGGTACAGCACACCATCACGGACAGGAAATGAAACGTTTTTCCTGGCCACGCCCTCCTTGGAGGTTTCCCACACCTTATCTAGACTAGGATCAGCTTTTTGCTCCTTGATCAGAACTTCCTTCGTTACGGACACGAGTTTCTCAAAGTTTCCCGACGTCGGGGGCAATATTAACTCGTCCAGTTCGGTTAGCTGCTCTTGGCGAGTTTCTTTTTCGACCGTGACGTTTTCCTCACTCCCCCGGTCTTTCTCTGCTTCCCCGGAACTGGTTTGCTCCGAGACCCCCGTCGGCGGATCCTTCGGTTTTCCTGGGCTAGCCTCGTCATAACTGAGCCGCGTGGAAATCTCGCGAGCTTTAGCCCTCGTGAGCGCTTGAACGAGTCCCTCCCCGAGGCTCTTGCCTTGTTCTTTCAAAATTCTGTCTGTTCGGTTCGAAAATAGGTAGGGGTACTGTGGCGGCAGTTTGTCTGAAACAGCCGCCTCAGTACGCACCTCTCCGAATGGTCCAGAAATCAGAACATCGGCCACAGGGAGACACACGCTCCCCTCGTCCAGCACCGACTTGATCCAGCTACATTTCCCATTGCAATGGGTCTCGGTAACGTACGACGGGTGAATTAGGTCAATGGTAGCCCCACTGTCGCGCAACACGCGGCACGACTTTCCGTTCACTGTCATGTCGAAAAGATACGGACTCAGGAGCTCCTCATTCTCCTCGCACTTACTCGCTAAGGCGAAAACTACCTTTGGTTTTTGACATCCCGCGGCAATGTGCCCAGTTTCATGGCAATTGAAGCACCTTATCGGCCTCCTGGCCTCAAAGGGTTTCTTCTTTTGCTGACTGTCTGGCCCGTTGCCCCGGGAGGTCGTGGAGATATTCTCCTCCTTGTCTTCCTCCTTTCGCGACTCTGTTCTTTTCCAGCCCCCTTTTTTCCGCTCATCTCCGCTTTCCTTCTCAAAGGTTCTCCTCATTCCCTCTTTTCCGCCTCTACGGGAACTGTACTCATCCGCAAGGTCTGCGGCTCGATAAACAGAGTCTACTCCTGACTTATCTTGAATCCAGGTTCGCATGCTTTCAGGAAGAGTCTTATAGAACTGTTCGAGCGCGACCGTCTCCAGCATTTTCTCTTTGTCGTCATACGACTCGGCGACCTTCATCCATTCGACAAGGTACGACCGAAGTTCGTATGCGAACTCCGCATAACTGGCTTCCGACTTTTTGGTCACGCCCCTGAACTTCTGTCTGAACGCTTCTGCCGACAACCGATACTTCTTGAGCAGGCAGCTCTTCACGCGGTCGCAGTCGTCCGAGTCGTCCGCGGATAACCTCGCGATTACCCCGGCTGCCTCGCATGGCAGAACACTCAGCAACCTTCTGGCCCAATATACCCGATTAAAACGGGCCCTCTCGCAAGCTCTCTCGAAGTTTACCAGGTAGAGGCCCATGTCCTGTCCCACCTTGAAAGCCTGAATAAGCTTCGTCATGTCATAGAGACTTCGGGTGCCCTCTACCTCCGATTCCCGTCCTCCGCTCGCTTTCCTTAGCTCCACCTCGAGACGAAGTTTTTCTAGTTCTAATTCCTTGAATTTTGCTTCGTCTCCTTTTTTTGTTTTGATTTTTTCCCACATCTCTTCGATTTCCTCGTTGTCAAGATTTTCGTCCTGGATAGCCTTAACAAGCTCCGGTTTTTTCATCGATGTGTTCGCGTCTACCCCGAGCTCCTCACACAAGTCGAGCAACTGACACTTTAGCAAACGCTGCAGATCCATGTCTGTGACCTATCTGGGTGGCAAAACTCTGCACTACCGACACACAACAACCTTAAAATTGCCTTTTCGGTAGTTACTTACGCCCCTGCAAAATACACCTCGATCTTACAGGCCTGGCGACAGAGAAAAGATGCCGTCACTCACCAGACTCGGCTCACGGCCCATGAGATCCGCTGTTGCTGCCGCTCAATGGTCGTAGCTGTCGATCCCACCGTCCGCCATCCAGTTGTAAAGACTCGGGGCTTGTCCATGTCGATCTCCGCTGGAGCCATGCGTCGCCCAGGACATCGGGCAGAGTTGGTAGCGAGCCAGGGTGTCTCTTCTCAAACTGTTTATTTACATACTATGTACAGTCTGCCGTTCGGCATGAGAACAACGTGAGAACACGAAGAGGGAGCGTAAAACCGCTCTTTTTATAATGTCCCCCTTCCCTACGTCCCTAGGCCAGGACGCCGTTCCCCAACTGGTCAGGCACCGCCCACTCGCACGCACACGCACACACAGAGGATAAGTGCTCTTCCGGTTCCTCCAGGCTTGTATAGTGGCAGCCGTTTCTTCAGCGACACTTGAGATTTGGCCTTGCTCCTGGAATCTAGGTCGAGGTGACACCTAGAAGCTCATTCCCAAACGTCCGGGCACCGCCTATGAGCACGCCCAAACGGACACACCGGTTAATCCTTTTGTTGGCTCTAAGAGAGCACGAACGCCCGGAGGATACCGTCCCACTCCCTGGTCGGGACGGAGAAGACCTTGGACGCCGATATCCGGGCAGTTTCCGTTCACGGCTTATCTCCTTCTTTCGGCTTAGCAGGGATCACCGTGGCCGTTGGTTCCTGCTTGGACGCCTCAAAGAGAACGCATTTCCGTTTCAGCACCCAACTTGAGCCGGTATCGACGACGGCTTGTCTTGCTCTTTTGTCGACGGTACCAGGGCAGCGGGGAAAATAATCCCAGCTTGAGATTGTCAGCGAAAGGCGCGTCCTCGGGAATGTTACAAAAGGGGTGGCGATCCGCGTCCAGGTCCGGTCGCGAAGGTCGGTCGTTACAACGCCCGTTGCCTTCCGCCTGGGCCAGGATAGACGTTCAGCGCCTTTGGTATACGGTGGTTGCACAAACTAGGGAGGTTTTCCTTCTGCAGTCAGTCAAGCATCCACCACCTGTACTCGCTGCCACATAAAAATAATAAAAAATACGTTTATTAATGCGCTGCGCGAAGCAGACCTTACAAGGTTCGGTTGCGTTTGCAGACAGGCACGCTCCAAAAGTGGGTCTGGTCATCGTAGATGGAAAAGGATTCATTTGGGTGCCAGTCTGCCAACCATGGGCAAGCCTAAGCAGAGCTTGGCTATCAGACGATCCGCGCACGTCAGCAGCAAGATGGCGGCGCGCAGAGGCCGTTTTCGCAGACGTCTGTACGGGAAACAAAGCGTGTCCATCAAACCGTGGACGACTCCATCGGGCGCGCAGCCTCATGGAGCGCATCAGAGAGATGCGCGCGGTGGTATGCGCGGCGGCGGCGGACGGACGGGCGCTTCCTGCGACCGGCCATCGCTGAAACAAAAAAAGCGGGAAACTCGTCGTGGTCTGTTTGTTGTTGTGGCCAAAGCGGCCGCTGGCCTCGGCGCTGCTGTTGCGAGCCATGACCAAGGTCGGACGAGATTGTTTTAGGAGCATGACTGGACGGCTGGGCGGCCACCGGTCATCAAAGCACCGTAAGGGATGTGGGCACGCCGCGCGCGCGCGCGCGTGTTTGTGTGTGTGTGTGTGTGTGTGTGTGCGTGTGCGTGCGTGCGTGCGTCTGAGCACTCGCACGTGTTTTAAAGGATGAAATACTTTTTAGCATTAACCCCCCCCCCCCCCCCAATTCCAACATGTTGTCCGCTGGTCCGTGTATTTCCCGCTAAATTTAGGGGGAAAATTGATGTCACGGGGCCCATGCACGAATTCAGTTCCCCGCTAAATTTAGCAGGAACTGAATTGTCACGTGACTTGACGTAACGGGACCTGCAGACGAATTCAGTTTTCCGGCTAAATTTAGCGGAGAAATTGACGTCACATGACCTATAGACCAATTCATATATATATATTGATGTCACCAGGCACGTAGCCAGGATTTTGTTTCGAGGGGGGGGGGGGGGGGGCGCCCATGTAAAAATGCTGCATGAGGGGGAGGGGGAGAGGAGGTGCCAGCAAAATAAAAAAATTGGGGGTGGGGGCCGGGCCTCATGCCCCCCCCCCCCCCCCTTCCTGGCTACGTGCCTGGATGTCACGTGACCTAAACTATACAAGAATGTACGTAGTCTTCTAAACAAATTAAAATTATCACTTTTTAAATACTGCCATTTCACGCATAACAGAACTTTAAAATCAAAGGTCGCTGACATTTTTTTAGAATCTGCGTATCCCGCGCTACACACACACACATCAATCATCATCGTCAGGATTTTTATACTCATCATGCTCATCATCATAATCATCTCCTTATGCTGCGCCGTACGGGAGTTATTTTACGCGCCGCTTGAGTCGCGTAGTCCTTGGCCCGGCGGCCAGGAATCCCACCTTTGAGTTTAGGTGTAAACGCAAAGCATAGTTGACTTAGGTTAGAAGCAAGTGAACAGGCGGGCTGGTTAAGAACAAGAATAGACATGGAAACCCTAGAGTGAGGGGACAAAAATAGGGACGGACAGAGACTGTCCGTCCCTTCTTGTCCGCTCGATCTATGGCTTGGTTTATGTTGATTTTTCCGACAGCCTCTCAGCTAGGTCACAATGAAAATACCCCCAATGACTGTTTCACTGTCAGGCAAGACGACTATTTTAGAGTGGCTTTCGTAAACACAAACTTAGGCCCCGAAAAAAAAAATTGCTGGTAACTGCTGGGTATCTGTTATAAACATCCAAAGTAACCCCCCCCCCCCTCTTTTTTTATAGATATATATAAAAAAAAAACCGGACAGAACAAAGTGATTTGCCAGACCACCTGCGTCCCCCCCCCCCCCCCCCCCCCTTTCTTTAGTGCTACAGATCCAGGGCTTTTTGGTAGATAGTTAGCTGCAGACTGTTGACGGTACGGGCGCGTTCTCCATAGAGAGTTTTAGGGAACCGTTTTTCCACATCCGATACGGTATACGATGGACCGTCCGGTACGAACTGCGCAAGCGCGAGTCTTCTGAGGTAGCGCATGCGCAGTGCGAAACGGAGGGCCCATCGTATACCGTATCGGATGTGCAAAAACGGTTCCCTAAAACTCTCTCGTGGGACCATCGTGCAAGGACGAAACACGCGTCAGACAACGTCTGCAGAATGTACATTGTGTGATGTTTTAGCAACGTGAGCGCGGCTTGAAATTCAGTTTATACCGCCGAACATAATACAAATACTGTCCAGATCGGTTATAACGAAATAGCGGCTGTGCAGCGAAGCGTTCACGATTTCCCATTCCCTTTTGCACTTCGTTAGAACCGAAGTCGGTTATAACGAAATAGCGGATATATCGAAGTGATATATCGTTATAACCGGTCTCGACAGTAGACTCCCCGCATTCAAACTCGCCGATCCCCAGGGCTTGAACAGACGGTCCCTCGACAGATCGAAGGCCGTTGATATCGTGGTTTCAACCCAGACGCGAGCAATCGTGACATTCCCCGCACGTAACCGACCGTCCCGCTCTTCCCCCGAAATAACGGGTCACCGACGAGCGCGAGTCAGGCGTAACTCTGTCGAAAACAACAAAAACAAACACGCGTGTCTGGTTCACCCATTGTCGCCGCCGCATCCACCCACCGACGGGAAGTTCACGGCGCCCTCTCCGACCCGCAACGTCCACAATAGGCATCGTATCGTATGCGGAGCACAAGCGCGACCCGCGGGCACCCCACGCAGAGGGCCGCTTGGGCCGCCACCGAAACCCTCCCCCCTCCTTCTCCACAAAAAAAAGACGAAGGGGGAAATACAACTCCGACAGCCACATTAGCACACGCTCACAAAAGTGAGGCACAAAGGTAGAAAAAAGCTGGTGATAATACGTGACTCGGAAATGGCGGCGGCGTATATATCCCAAC